GCCATCGAAAAAAAAAGGAAGAAAAAATCCTCCGGCCTCGCCGAAGGAAGAGTGAAGAAAAGAGATCAGAAGGGCGCAAGAGTAGAAGCTACTTCATCCAAATTTTTAAAATTAAATATTCAGAAGACTTGGCATGATTACTCCCTCAGAAAGTTGCAAGGATTAAGGAATGAGATTTAGGGATGACTTTTTTATTATATTTTAAAACAGTTTTTTAGTATAAAAAATAAAAAATTTTAAAACCAAGCTGTTGCACAATTTATAAAACTATCTTATTATTTTGTGTATGTTCTTTCATTTTTTTTTAATTGTTAAAAATCTTGTTCAAACTTATAAATATTTTATTTTATAATGGTCAAATCGTAATCCTTCCAAACTAATTAAATATTTTATTATTTAAAATATATAGACTAATTACTAAGTATAATTGTTGTTGCGTCATAGAATCTTCACGGTGGTAGAGAAATATAGAATTTAACGTCTTAACTCTATACGAAAATCCGACACACACACAGATATGAGAGAGGGTACACGTAGCATTCATATGAGGCACCAAGATTTTTACATGAAAAACCCTGAAAAGGGGGAAAAACCACGGGGCCTAACCCAGTTTGAATGAATCAAATATTATTTGCAATCGATTACAAATGAAGCCCTTCATTAGGGGGAAGACATTTGCTTGATGTACATTCTATGAAGTACATGATAGAAATACAAAGAATCACTGTTGACGTGTTCGTTTGGTCGGAAGGACCGTTGTTGATGGACGACGTAAGTTGGAAGGACCGTAGTCGGCGGGCGACGGAGGTCGGAAGGACCGTTGTCTGACGACAGAGCTCAGAAGGACGGCGTCAGGTAGAAATCCAGCAATGGAAAGAAATCAAACATTGGATAGATGTCCGAAGAAAATCCGACAACGGGTAGAAGTCCGACTTTGGGTAGAAATCTGGTGACAAGCAAAGGTCTTGCGTCGGGTAGAAGTATGACATCAGTCGGTGGCCGGGGAGAACTCCAGCGTTAGATGATATTCAGGCAAAACTCTAGAGTAACTTGGAGATTGGACAAAATTCTAGCGTCACTTGGAGATCGGGCAGAGTTTTGGCGTCATTTGAAAGTTGGGCAGAACTTCGAAGTCTCGTGGAAGTCGGCATAATTTCAGTCTAGCGTGGAAGTCGGGCATAATTCTGGCGTCTCGTGGAAGTCGGGGTGAATCCCGATGGTGGCCAAGGAGGAGTTTCTTCCCTCCTACTCTTTCTCATCTTCTTCATGCTTGGGCCCCCTCTCAAGAGAAATGAGGGGCTATTTATAGTTTTTTTAGGATGACATGACCCGTAAATAGGGGGAGGATCAAGGGCAAATGTGGAGAGGATTGGATGGACGATCGATATTGAATTCATTGATCGTAGAACGTTCGTCAGACATTTGAAGGTCTTAATGATATTAGAATTCAACGATCTTGGGCTCGTTGGATTCGTCTTGTCAAGCCACTCGATTAGATTATAAGCATGTCATATTAATTTGAAAACTGTTTGGTAATCCAAATTATGGATTGAACCTTCCAAATGTGCTTCGAGTCTTTGATTTGGAGCCATTTGGGCTTGGATCAAGTTGAATTTGGTTTCGTTGGGTTTGTATTCCCGAGACGCTCTATTCGACTATAAGTTTGCTAAAATCAGAGTCCAGATGATCCTAGATTTAATTTTATAAGTTTTCAACTTGATTTTTGCCTCGAGATCCGATCAAGATAGTTTTTTGATGACATATCAATTGTATTTATAGATTGATATAAGAACACTTTTTTTTGGAATGATTTTAGACTTATTAGTCTTTGTACTTTCTTTAACAAACTTGTTGTGAAAATTATTGCATCTAGATTATCTTCTATTTTGCCTAGAATTATCTCCTCTAACCAAACTGGTTTTGTTAAAGGTAGAAGCATTTTTGACAATATTTTATTAGCCCAAGAATTGGTCCATGACATTAATGTTAAAAGTACTGGTGGCAATATCATTTTTAAACTTGATATTACTAAGGCTTATGATAACTTGAATGAGGATTTTCTTTATAAAGTATTATCTTTGTTTGGTTTTAACCAAGCTTTTCTTAACCTTATTAAACATAGCATTAATAATTGTTTCTTTTATGTTATCATCAATGGTAGGAACCATGGTTTTTTTCAATCTAAGAATGGTCTTAGACAAGGGGATCCTATATCCCTTTCTCTTTTTATTATTGCTATGGAATACCATTCTAGGGGTTTGGAGCATCTTTACAGGAGGTTTCCTAATTTGAATTTCCGCACGTCTGGTGGTTTTCCTATTTCTCATCTTAGTTTTGCGGATGACTTCATCATTTTCTCTAATGCCTCGATTAAAAATGTTAAAATTTTGTTTAAATTCTTGGAAGGGTTTCAGGATACTATATAGTGGTCTTTCTATTAATAGAGACAAGAGTAATTTTATCACTGGCAAATCTGTGAATTCTACTCATTCCAACAAGGTTAAACGGTTGTGTGGGTTTAATTCCTGTTATCTACCTATCAAATATCTTGGTACTCCTCTTACTAGAGGTAGGAAAAAAGTTATGCTTTTTGACAACATTTTCACTATTTTCCAAAGGAAATTCATGCATTGGTCTTCTAATTTTCTTTCTTATGAAGGTAGGTTAACTTTGATTAAGAGTGTCCTGAATTATATTCCTATTTTTATCTTTCATACGCTGCACCCCCCTATTGGCGTTTGCAATCGTATGGAAAAACTCATAAACAAATTTTTTTGGGGTGCTACTAACAACAAAACCTGTATTAATTGGGCTAAGTGGAGTAAAATGTGTGTGGTGTTTATGAGGAAGGCTCTCTAGGTTGCAAATCGATTACTGATATGGTTCAAAGTTTTTCTCATAAACTGTGGTTTACTTTGCGTTCTAATATTAGTCTTTGGGCTCAATTTATGTTTGCTAAGTACTGTAAGGGTATGCATCCTTTAATTGCTCATTACAAAAACCCTGACTCTTCTGTTTGGAAAAGAATTTGCAAAATTAAAAGGGAAGCGGATTTGAACATTCAATGGGGTATCAGGAATGAGGAGGTTTCTTTCTGGCAGGATAATTGGTTATGATTTTCTTCTATTGACAATTATTTTAATACAATTACCATTGATAATATTAAAGTGAATGATTTCTTTCTCAATGGTATGTGAAACATGTCTAAGTTGCTTGAGGTGGTCCCCCAAGAAATTTTTGAGTTGATTATTAAAATCCCGTTACAATTACATATGCAAGATAAAATTCTGTTTAAACTTTCCTCTACGGGTGCTTTTAGTTTCAAAAACATGTGGGAGCATATTAGAGTGAAAGAGGATACTTCTCATATTTTTCAAACTCTGTGGCATAATACCATTCCGAATTCTTATTCTTTATTAACTTGTAGATGTCTTAAAGGCTATCTGCCTGTTGATAATAGATTATGAAAAAAAGGTTTTTATCTTGTTTCTAAATGCCAATGTTGTGCTAATTTCTGTGTTGGTATCGAGAGCATTCAACACATTTTTGTTAATAGTTCCATAGCTCGGTATGTTTGGTATCATTTCAGTAACTTGGTTGGCTTAGAGGCTTCTCATAATAATGGTGCTTTGACTGATATTTTGATTAAGTGGTTTACTAAAGGCAAGGGTCATATTCAAAACTTACTCCCCATCCTGATTATTTGGTATTTATGGAAAGCTAGAAATGATTTTAAGTACGAGGAGATTAAGATGAATGCTAATCTGATAATTACTAATATTAGAAATAAGGTATTACAATTGCTATATGTTAAACTTATTTCCTGTAAGAATTTTAAAAACTATAATATGTTAGCTGATTATTTTGGTTTAAATTGTGCTACTGCTGGTGAAATTAGGACGGTCCGGATTGTTGGATGGTTAAAACCTAATTTTCCTTTTGTTAAACTCAATACTGATGGGTTTATTGGTAGTAATTATGCGGGTATTGGTGGTATTATCCGGAATCATCTTGGCAATCCTGTGGAGGTTTTTTCTGAGCCTTTGGATCTCTGTTCTGTGTTGTCTTCAGAATTGTTAAGTTTAAATTATGGCTTAGATCTCTGCAGGAATTTGGGTACCAACATGTGAACATTGAAGTTTATTCTAAAACTATTATTCATGTGATCTCTGAGAACAATTTTGGTAACCTCAAGATTTCTATACTATTAGGAAGATTAAGATGTTGATTAATAAGCTTACTTGTAATATTTCCCATATTTATTGTGAAGGGAACGTTTGTGCTGATTGGTTGGCTAAATTTGGCTCCCAAAGTCTTAGTTTTAATAACTTTTCTGTGATGAATCTACCTTCCCCTCTCATAGGCATGATTTCTCTGGATAAATTGGGTCTTTCTTATATTTCTCATGCCTTTTTTTTTTTCTGTTGGGTTGTTGGTTTGTTGGATTGTTTGTTTTTTGTTCTTTGCTGTTGATTTCTTGCTTGTGTCACATTCTTGATGGGTTTCCTAACTCTCGTTTTGGTGTTATGGAGTTAGTTGAGTTCTTTTGGCTGAATCTTGGTGTTAATCGCTTCTACTGTAAGTATATCTGGATTTTTACTGGGTTATCCATCATTTTATGTTTCTTTAGTAAGGTGATTACTAAGGAGATCTATTACTTGGATTTGTTGGATATCCGTGAGCCCATCAAGTTTCTTTCTGTTACTGATTCTGTTAGAATTAAGATCCATTCTCCTATATTTCATCTTAATTATTACTTATATAATACCCATTTTTGGAGAGTTTTTTGTAGGATTATTTGGATGTCTGAGTTTTGGAGCCTCACAGTATGCAAACTTCTCTCTACTAGTTATTTCCTTTGCATTTTAATTTGTGCCTTTTGTTTTTGCAGGAAGTCTATGCTGAATGAGTTAATCCCTCACTTCCGATTTTTGGGTGCTACTGCTCTGCAGACCGGTTTTAATTTTATGCTTTATTGTATTATTAGATAAATGATCCACCGGCTAGCTAGTAGGCTTTATTTTTCTTTTTAATTGTAGCTCTTCTAAGCATAGTCAGCTGGAGGGTCCTTCTAAGGGCCTTGTAATCGATATTTGATATTAACGTGTAGGCCCCATAAGTGGGTTTTAACCTTTTTTTTTTTTGTATTTATAGATTTTAACAAAGATTTGGACAATTCATTGAGTATTATATCAATTGTATTTATAGATTTTAACTAAGATTTGGACAATTCATTGAGTATTATTTAGTTGTTTGATGAAATATATATATTGCTATTTAATTGATATTTTTATCATAAATAAATCTCAAATAATATATATTATTTTTAAAGTATATAAGATATATGAAAAATATAAAATAAATCATCAAATAAGTAATTAAATAATCATTAATGAGTATTTTATTTAGCTCTTAGGCTTTGTTTGGAACAGTTTTCTAAATCGACTTTCTAGTATAAATATATTTTGAACTAAAAATTTTCGCATTAGAAATTAAGTTTAGGTTTTAAATTATTTATACTAAAATTGGATCGAAAGAAGCATTAATTTAACTTCACATGATAAAACACTATGCATTAAATTATTTATACTAAGAATGGGTCAAAATATCTTGAGATTATCTTTTTTTCATAATTTTACAGAAGTTTTTTCACTATGCATTAAATTATTTATACTAAGAATGGGTCAAAATATCTTGAGATTATCTTTTTTTTTTTTTTTTGAAAAATTTAAATGGCTATTTAACACTTGTATTAATTTGACTTTACTTAATTTGAAGCTTATGCATTGTTTATCAAGTAATATATACAATTTGTAGAAGCGTAATATGACTTCATCATGACATGAGTATTTTTTATAATTTATAGTTTATAATATGATGCATAGTTAAATATTTGAACTACTAAATATTATTATTTGCATTAATAATATCATTAAAAAGGGGGGCTTGCATCATAGTTGTTAAGTTTTGAAGGACTTTTTTTATGACTTGTAGACATATTTGCTTAATAACTCTGTAGTACTCTTATGTAAGAGTTTTGAATAGGCTGCTTAATTGGTAAGATTTTTTGCTTATTGCATATGGTTAACTTTACTGGCGTTTTTTTGGAACAGCTTTTTTACTATTTCTTAAAGTAGTTTTTTAGAATGCTGATTTATAAAGCAATGAGAAGATTGTCCCAAACGAAACCTTATTAAGCCTTATTATTATTAATCATGAGCCACCAAACTATAAAGATTCATTCATAACCTTTTTTTTTTTGTGAAAAAAAATTCATTTATCACCATATCATTATAATTAATTAATTATGACTGCTTAGTTGGTAACAATCGTTTATAGATCAATGTGGCATGTCAGATCTTGTCTAGAAGTAAATGTCATACTTTGCTAAACTCATATGATCATCTAATCATCTTCTGAGTTAATGAGCATCAATTCAAGTACACTGAAATTGAGATGTGCACTTTTAGTATATAAGAAACTTTTCTATCCATCCATAGTTAGAATCATCATTCTTGTAACATTAATAACACAAAAAGAAACGAAAGTACAAGATTAAAATTACAATGACCTTACACATACATAAACACCAAGTCAGCACACCAACGATTGCTCGTGATAGCACTAAAGCTCTTCTAACACTTAGCTACGAGGTGGGTGACTACAACAACATAATTAATATAGACGACAAAACACACACACAAACTCAAAATACACAAAAAACATTAAAAGTCTTCATGAATATTATAAGGTACATGAAGCTTTGAAGTGAGTAAATTAAAATATAACAATGGTTTTAAGCCTCCCATGTCTCAAAAGAACCATTGACAAAGTCGTAGTACCCTCCGTACAAAGCCAAAGTCTTCTTCTCCAGGCCTTCCTTAACATAAGGGTAAGTCTTCAAATTCTCAAGAGAAACTTTCACAGCTTCCTGTAAGTATATAAAGGCCAATGAAATTGTGAATTAGAAAAATAAGATATGCATTGTAAAAATAATTCAAAAGTTATATCATATAATACTATTTGATTTATAGTTTTTTGAAATAGATTATCATTTAACTCCAAAAATTAGAAGTCTTATTATTTATTTGATATTGTTGTTTTGCCAAAAATAGTAATTTTATTGGTGTATCATTCTTAAGCATATGAATTTACTTTAATGCCACTTGTGTAGCTAATAGCGCCCTAATCTTTTACATTGATATCACCCTGTTGAATAATGAATTTCTTAATTTATATCAAGATAAGGGTACATCGAGAGGACAAAAATAAATTTAATAATTACCTTCTCCAACTTTGAGCATTGTTCTTCAAAGGAGAGATCACTGTGAGCTTGATTCACTGCTTCTTTTGCCGGAGTGCAGATTTTGACCCAGTCCTCTATAAAGTCACTGTACATGAAAGTTATTTACCAGATTAATAATATGACATATTTATTCCATTTGAATTTTGCTTAAAGATATTATTTGAAGAAATATACATTAATTGAGTAGTTGATAAAAAAATTTCTTGTGAGTTATGTTGGTGAGAAAAATCTCTAATATTTTCTCTTAGAAGATGTATGATGTAGTTTGGGATAGAGGGACTGTTTGGGATAGCTTTCTAGCAACTATGATTTGTATTGCTTAACTGAGTAAGCTAAACAAAGGTAATGTTTGAAGCATTTTTATTTTGAAATTTATCTTTGATTTCACTTCTTACAATCTTCAAAATGTTTCTCATAGATTTTTATTTGAATTATTGAGTTGAAATATTTGAGAAACATTTATAATTATGGAAATTTCGATCAGAAAAAGTTGACTTAATTGTTAAGTAAATGTGGCCTTATCGCCGTATCTCCAAGAAAATAATACTTCAAAACTTCTACAAGCTATTGGACTAAAAGATGCTAAATTTTACGTATAAATGTCAAAAGAACCACTAAATCTAAATACTAGTATTAAATAATATTATAGCTATGCGGCAATATATATACGTAAAACTTACGTGCCGAGAGAAGCATTGTCTTTAATAGAGAGGAGCGCTTTGATTCCTCCACAACGACTGTGTCCAATAACAATAATATTCTCTACCTATCATACATGAAATTTAACCTATCGTTAATACATATAAGGAATATTTAAGATATCAACAATTCAACCATATCTTCTTCCTTTTTTTTTAATACAAATAAAATTTAGGCTTTGCTTGATACAACTTTCTTATTATTTTCTAAAATAACTTTCTAGTACAAAAAAAAAATTATACTAAAAACTATTTAAAAAACAATAAGAAACAATCACAAACAAAATCTTTACCAATTTTACTATAAACTTTATAAGCATGAGATAAGTTGAAGACAAGTTATAACAAATACAATATCATAGAATTGCTTATCGATAACCTCATCCACTCATAAAAAAGGACTTTTTGTAAGTGATAATATTTAGATGACTAATAATTTTTAATTAGACAAAGTCAAACACAAAACATCATTTATTATTATGGCTAATTGTGATAAGCTCATTGAATTTCTATATATGTATATATTGAGAAATACCTTGAGGTGAACAACGGGGTACTCAACAGCAGCACCAATACCAGAATATCTTGTCTAGAGGAGAAAAAAAATAATCATAATAAGTACACTGAAGTGTTATAAATCACAAATAATTGAAGGGAAATGCTATGCAGAAGGAAGGATGAAATGGTTAAGTAAATATACCTTGTCATAGGGTGGTACCATGTTAGCGATGTTGCGGATGGTAAAAGCCTCCCCAGGTTGAAAGTTGAACAATACAGATGGACACACTCGTGAATCCGAACACGCAAATATTAGAAACTGCACAAAGGCATATTAATATATTATATTTAATTTAATAATCTTACCGTCAATGTTCGACTGCTGCTATTTTTTGTACAAGTTCAAGTTGGAAAATAATTTAATTTATACTTAATAGGCCTCTGTCCTTTTGCGAAGGAGAAGTTTGATTCTGTTTCAGGTCTTTTTGGAAATAATCAAATAACCGTTTCCTATTTTCTTCAATAACATAAAATTTAAAACGTTTCTAATCATGCTAAATAGAGAGAGAGAGAGAGAGAGAGAGAGAGAGAGACAGAGAGTAGGACGTTTGTAGAAACATAAAGTTGCTTAGTTTAACAGAAAAAAGAATGGAAATGTTATATAATAGATATAGAGTTTTAAAGTTCTTGAAGGGAAAGCCTGGAATTCCATAGCGAAATTTTGTTTATTTCTAATTGGAAAGCTTTACCTTTGGACTCTGGCCCTCGGCAAGCTGGTTAAACACCTCGGGCTTCTTTCTGCCATCAAAATTAAACCAAACAAATCTCTTACGTCTAAGAAAATAATATTGCTTAGCAAAAACCAAAGTAATTCACATCCTGAGAATATACAATTTCTTTAGCACTGCCAATAGATAAGATTCAAAGCTTTATTCTGTTACTATTCCCAAAAGTAAAAAAAGATAATAGAGATCTAAGAAAGAAATGAATCACATAATTTCTTTTCTTTTTGGTCCCTTATAAATCATTAAAGCCTGAAAATAAAATTGATAGAGGGGATTCATGAACGCACTCGTAAACTTCCTTCTTAAACTGCTCAAAACCGGATTTCAGTCGATCAACGGACGCCATTTCCTGCAATCATTAATGAAATGGAGCATACAAACATAATCAGAAGGATGAAATACCAAGCTCTGCAGATAGGAGATTAGATTACAGAAATAGAACAGTAAAGAGAATAAAATAGAAAGAAATGAAAAAGGTATATATATAATACACTCTATTTCTGGATTTCGATAGATCTTTCAGCCCTATAGATCTATGTGTGTATTTATAGAGTGGAAAGGAGCAGTTTTTGAATCGTGGAGATGCAAAAACTGCAGAGAAGAAGTAGTGGGCTTCAGTTGCTGAAACTGCTGTAGGCGGTTTCCTGCTGTAGTTTCGGTTGGCTTAGAAGAGGTAACTAACACTCCGGAGGAGATTGAAAAAAGGGGAGACAGAAGACTTGGCGCGCGTGAATTACATTACTGCGTTTTTATAATATAAGGAGTGGGAGGACGCGTCGATGGTGAAGTGGCCCGCCCAAGCGTGGCCCGCCCAAGCGTGGCCCAGTCTGGCACTACTCCTGTTGGAAATGAATCTGAACGCAATAGGGAAGATTTGAAGGATGATAGGGAGAGCATAAGTTTTTAAATGGATAGAAATTATTTCGGATCCTATGAAAGAAAGCATATTATTATAGGCTTTATACAAATTTTAAAAATTAAATATTCAGAAGACTTGGCATGATTACTCTCTCAGAAAGTTGCAAGGATTAAGGGATGAGATTTAGGCTTGATTTGAGATAATTTTTTTATTATTTTTTTTAAATAATTTTCTAGTATAAAAATTTTAATTTTTTATTAAAAAGTTATTTTATGAAGCAATAAGAAAGGTGTCCAAAATAATGTCTTAGGTTTAATTTGAGACTATTTTTTTTAATGTTTTTTAAACCAGCTTTTAATGCAAAAATTTTTAGTCCAAAAAACTTTTAAAAAAAAAACTGTTTTAAAAATCATTAAAAAATCATCATAAATAAAGCTTTAAGGTTTATTTGGGACATTTTTTTTACTATTTTTTTTAAACATTCATTTCTATATAATTTTCAAATTACAAAATTTTTTGTGCTAAGAAATTGTTATATCTCAAATGAAGTTTTGGGCTAACTTTCTTATTATTTTTTCAAACAATTTTTTTTAATAAAAATTTGAAATTTAAATTATTTTTTTTACCTAAAAATGGTTTTAGAAAGTAATAAAAAAACAGACCAAATGAAATATTAATTTAGTATAAATTTGAGTTAGCCAAAAGCGAACAATACATCATCAAGTGGTTGTCTTGAAATTTAGAAAGTTCTACCTATTATTTATTTTGCTTTCTAAATAATTAAAGGTGCAAACAGAATATTCGTTCTCTTTCAGAGGCAACTTGCAACTTCACTGGAACCAAGCCAACTTAACTTTATAATTTTTTTTTTAATTTTTCTTTTTGCTCAAAAGTAATAGTTTACAGGTGTACTGATCATATAAATACCACTTTTTTGTAAATAAAATAAAAAAAATATATATTTACATAAAGAGGACAGCCCAACGGAGTTAATAATTTATGTGGGTGGCGGACAATGACTTTCGAAAAAAAATGAAAGAGGCCAATTGAATGAGGAGAAATGGTTGAAGGCAATAAGTTGTAATTAAGATACTTGTGGTTCTCCGGCATTAAAGCATGCAAAAAAGATTAAGTAGATTTCGGACCATTCTTATTTTTTATTTTTATTTTATTTTATATAGATTTTGATATGAAATAAAAATTAGTTGGTGTATAAAAAAATGATACTTTTATTTTAAATAAATATTAAATAAATTGATTTATTTGATGGTGATGTCAATTATGGGCGAGGCGGCTGGAGGAGGCTACACTGATGATTGTGATAGTATTTTTAAAAATGCTTAAACCACCTCAAAATTATTTTGAGTGCTTTTAAAATAGTTAGAATTAATTTTTTAAAGAGATTGATAAACATAATTATAAAACACAAAAACAAACATATATTTATAAAATAAAAAAATGAAAGTAATCCCAAACAAACCCTAAAGAGGCAAAAAAATAAGAGTTTTCCTTATTTGACATATATATCTGTTATGGATTAAGCACGTACATTGCTGTTTTTCAGAGAGAAATGCTGCTCATATATACATATCATAACATTTTTTTAGAACATTTAGGTCAATTAAGATAAATTCACAGTTCACATACATAAGATCACAATCTAAAACCTTTAGTTTGGTAGCCAAATTTTCAGCCAACAAATCAAAATGAGCTGCGTATATTATAACATTGCATGTATTGCAAAAGAAATGATCTGTAAATACATCAAATCAACACCTGATAGAAAAGATATTAAATTTGCACACCATATCCTCAAATAAGATCCACCTCTTTTATATAACTTGTAAACTATCATACAATAAATTGTCATTTAAAAAAGGATTGAAAAAGCATATCCATGAAATCATCTCAAAAAACAAAGTAATGATAATAATAATGACAAACATAGCTAATCTTGGCCTATTGATTGGGAGTTTAGGCTACAAATTAAGAGGTCTTGAATTCGAGTCTTATATATGTGATGTATGTATAAGTCTATCTAATTTGACCTAAATGTTAAAAAAAAATAACAACAACAACAACATATGCAAACTTGTATTTAATTAACTCTCTAATCTTCTTTTTTACATATATCTATTTTGAAGAAGTAACGCTCAAATTAAAGAGATATGGGAGAGACAAATTAAGATAGAGAGGTAGAATGGTAGATTACCACGGCTGTAGTGAGGGTGGAAGGGGTAGCAAGAACTGGAGCGTTGCGGATGAGTCGAGGGCTCGAAGAGACCGATGGGAGAGGAGAGGAGTTCGAAGAGATGGGATTACGATAAGAGCGAGAGGAGGAGGAGGAGGAGGAGGCTAATATAGAAGTACTGCGAGGGTTGGAGCTGGTCGTGAGGGATGAGAGGTAGTAGCAACCATTGAGAACGGCCGTAGACATTGTGCGAGGGGCCGAATACTTCGCTCATATATTATACTATTTCCATGTATATACTACTGGCCCCTCCGCGAGTTACTGGAATTCTGACACATTCACCCGCTTGCATGGCTATGATGAAGTGGAGATAACAGAAGCTAAGGAATGGTTGGAGAAGAAACAACAGGCCAGTATGACCGTTGGATAATGAATGACCATCGTTTTTTTCAAACCTTTTTTATTTTTGCTAGAATGAATATATGGATTGGGAAAAAAGTTATTGTGTGAGGGTATCGGGATATAAATTGGATAAGTATAGGGGTATCAATTCAGATCACTGGGCCGGTTCGGGTCGAATCCAACTTGACCCGGTCAAAAACCGGCATACTCGAACCCGACCTGTTCTTACATACAGGTCAAATTTCCCAACCCGGATCCGACCTTCGAACGACATATCCAGAGATCAGGATTCAAGCGTGGTTCAAGCGAGGGCGAGGCCGCAAGAGCTGGGAGAGCTTGCGACTTGCCGAGGCGTGCCTGCGAGACTTCAAGAGCAAAGCGGCTCCAAGGTTCGACGCGAGATAGCGAAACCAACGACTGGGCCTATCCTGAATGGGAGTGGGCGACGACACAGATGCGACCACGCGAGGGCAAGGCGACCGGTACGACTTCGACTACACGAGGCAAGGCGACTTGTACGACTCCGTCGTTTGACCGTTCGACGTGAGGGCTAGGGCAAGGCTACGACTACTCGAGTTGGAACTTGGCGGCTCGGTCAATTTCGTGTTACCGGGTTGACCCGGACCCGACCCGTTTTTTAAACGGGTCGAAAATTGAAACCCGAAGTTGACACGTTTGTTAAATGGGTGAATCCTAACCCGGGTTCGGGTCATGTCAATAATTGACACCCCTAGATAAGCATCAATTACATGACTCATCTAGCTTGATGCGTTAGGAGCTCTTACTATCAACCAAAAAGTTTTTGAGTTCGAAATTTACGTATGTGCATGATGTCTATAAAAATTTGTGTTATTTAATTCAAAAGTCCAAAAAAAAAAAAAAAAAAGATGAGTTTAATAGTCATTGGATGTTCCTTAAGATTATGTAATATAATCTCTTTATGTTTATATATAACACAAATTAAAAATATAGTCAATATTTGTTAAGTTCCGCTTGTTATAATTTATAGAATAACATCCCAACAAAAAAATATTTTCTTATGAATTGATATATTTCAAGATGATGAGTCTTGACTCTTGACTATAATATTTTGTTCATGAATGCCTTAGCAATTATATGATGATGATGATGCAAAGCTCAATATAGTATTAACATATTTATATCAATATAAAAAATTGATCAAATATTTTGGTGTTATTAGTCTAAAAAATTGTTAAATTTATATTGAAATGAGTGTAATATAACTTTTAATTGATTAGTAGGATTTTCAAAATGAATTAATCTAACCATTTGATACTCATCTTCACTAAAATTTGATCAATTTTCAAACTCAAAATTTATCCTAACAAAATTGTTAAAGGTGGTTTAGATTTGGGTTTAGTCTCATAGTTGAAAAATAAATTGGAATGTAGCAATATTAAGTATTTGATATCAAAGAGAAACGATTAAATTTGTTGGATTGGATATAAATCTCTTTTGATTCAACATCACGTGACATAAAGATTATTAATCTTAATTAGCACAAATATATGGAGGATAAATTGAAAAATATTCTATTCTATTGAATTCTAATTAGATTATATTATAATCTTATTATTCTAATTCTATTAGATTCTATTTAGAATATTTTATCTAAAAGTCTTATATTTTGATTTCTATGTGAAAATAGAAAATTATGATACACAAGATTAGAATCCAAGATAGGGAGAGCATAAGTTTTTAAATGGATAGAAATTATTTCGGATCCTATGAAAGAAAGCATATTATTATAGGCTTTATACAAATTTTAAAAATTAAATATTCAGAAGACTTGGCATGATTACTCTCTCAGAAGTTGCAAGGATTAAGGGATGAGATTTAGGCTTGATTTGAGATAATTTTTTTATTATTTTTTTTAAATAATTTTCTAGTATAAAAATTTTAATTTTTTATTAAAAAGTTATTTTATGAAGCAATAAGAAAGGTGTCCCAAATAATGCCTTAAGTTTAATTTGAGACTATTTTTTTAATGTTTTTTAAACAAGCTTTTAATGCAAAAATTTTTAGTCCAAAAAACTTTTAAAAAAAAAACTGTTTTAAAAATCATTAAAAAATCATCATAAATAAAGCTTTAAGGTTTATTTGGGACATTTTTTTTACTATTTTTTTAAAACATTCATTTCTATATAATTTTCAAATTACAAAATTTTTTATGCTAAAAAATTGTTATATCCCAAATGAAGTTTTGGGCAAACTTTCTTATTATTTTCTCAAACAAAATTTTTTAATAAAAAATTGAAATTTAAATTATTTTTTTACTAAAAAATTATTTTAGAAAGTGATAAAAAAACGGACCAAATGAAATATTAATTTAGTATAAATTTGAGTTAGCCAAAAGCAAACAATACCTCATCAAGTGGTTGTCTTGAAATTTAGAAAGTTCTACCTATTATTTATTTTGCTTTCTAAATAATTAAAGGTGCAAACAGAATATTCGTTCTCTTTTAGAGGCAACTTGCAAGTTCACTGGAACCAAGCCAACTTAACTTTATAATTTTTTTTTTAATTTTTCTTTTTGCTCAAAAGTAATAGTTTACAGGTGTACTGATCATATAAATACCACTTTTTTGTAAATAAAATAAAAAAAATATATATTTACATAAAGAGGACAGCCCAACGGAGTTAATAATTTATGTGGGTGGCGGACAATGACTTTCGAAAAAAAATGAAAGAGGCCAATTGAATGAGGAGAAATGGTTGAAGGCAATAAGTTGTAATTAAGATACTTGTGGTTCTCCGGCATTAAAGCATGCAAAAAAGATTAAGTAGATTTCGGACCATTCTTATTTTTTATTTTTATTTTATTTTATATAGATTTTGATATGAAATAAAAATTAGTTGGTGTATAAAAAAATGATACTTTTATTTTAAATAAATATTAAATAAATTGATTTATTTGATGGTGATGTCAATTATGGGCGAGGCGGCTGGAGGAGGCTACACTGATGATTGTGATAGTATTTTTAAAAATGCTTAAACCACCTCAAAATTATTTTGAGTGCTTTTAAAATAGTTAGAATTAATTTTTTAAAGAGATTGATAAACATAATTATAAAACACAAAAACAAACATATATTTATAAAATAAAAAAATGAAAGTGATCCCAAACAAACCCTAAAGAAGCAAAAAAAATGAGAGTTTTCCATATCTGGCCTATCTGTTACGTACATTGCATTTTAGGATACTTAGCAGACTGTTTTTCATAGAGAAATGCTGCTCATATATACATATCATAACATTTTTTTAGAATATTTAGGTCAATTGAAATAAATTCACAGCTCACATACATAAGATCACAATCTAAAACCTTTAGTTTGATAGTCAAATTTCCAACCAACAAATCAAAATGAGCTGCTTATATTATAACATTGTATGTATTGCAAAAGAAATGATATGTAAATACATCAAATCAACACCTGATAGAAAAGATATTAAATTTGCACACCATATCCTAGAAAAAGATCCACCTCTTTTATATAACTTGTAAATTATCATGCAATAAATTTCCATTTAAAAAAGGGTTGAAAAGGTACCACTTGCAGTATAACACATGTGAGTGATATCATCTCAATAAAACAAAGTAATAATAATAAAAAAAAAAAAAACAAACGCAGCTCACCTTAGCCTTTTGATTGGAAGCTTAGGCTATCAATTAAGAGATCTTGAGTTCGAATCTTATATATGCAATGTGTGTATGAATCTACTTTAATTGACTTAAATGTCCTAAAAAATTTAACAACAACAACATATGCAAACATGTATTTAACTCCCTAATATTCTTTTTGGCATATATCAATTATGAAGAAGTACCACTCAAATTAAAGAGATAGGAGAGAGTCAAATTAAGATAGAGAGGCAGAATGGTACGTAGATTACCACGGCTGTAGTGAGGGTGGAAGGGGTAGCAAGAACTGGAGCGTTGCGGATGAGTCGAGGGCTCGAAGAAACAGATGGGAGAGGAGAGGAGTTCGAAGAGATGGTATTACGATAAGAGCGAGAGGAGGAGGAGGAGGAGGAGGCTAATATAGAAGTACTGCGAGGGTTGGAGCTGGTCGTGAGGGATGAGAGGTAGTAGCAACCATTGAGAACGGCCGTAGACATTGTGCGAGGGGCCGAATACTTCGCTCATATATTATACTATTTCCATGTATATACTACTGGCCCCTCCGCGAGTTACTGGAATTCTGACACATTCACCCGCTTGCATGGCTATGATGAAGTGGAGATAACAGAAGCTAAGGAATGGTTGGAGAAGAAACAACAGGCCAGTATGACCGTTGGATAATGAGTGACCATCGTTTTTTTCAAACTTTTTTTATTTTTGCTAGAATGAATATATGGATTGGGAAAAAAGTTATTGTGTGAGGGTATCGGGATATAAATTGGATAAGTATAGGGGTATCAATTCGGATCACTGGGCCGGTTCGGGTCGAATTCAACTTGACTCGGTCAAAAACTGGCATACTCGAACCCGACCTGTTCTTACATACAGGTCAGATTTCCCAACCCGGATCCGACCTTCGAATGACATATCCAGAGATCAGGATTCAAGCGTGGTTCAAGCGAGGGCGAGGCCACAAGAGCTGGGAGAGCTTGCGACTTGCCGAGGCGTGCCTACGAGACTTCAAGAGCAAAGCGGCTCCAAGGTTCGACGCGAGATAGAGAAACCAACGACTGGGCCTAGCCTGAATGGGAGTGGGCGACGACACAGATGCGACCACGCGAGGGCAAGGCGACCGGTGCGACTTCGACTACACGAGGCAAGTCGACTTGTACGACTCCGTCGTTTGACCGTTCGACGTGAGGGATAGGGCAAGGCTACGACTACTCGAGTTGGAACTTGGCAGCTCGGTCAATTTCGTGTTACCGGGTTGACTCGGACCCGACC